TTTTTTGTTTGAAGGCGGGGGGAGCCCCCCGCCCCCCCAATAACACAACTTCCACACAGCTACTTTAAACATTGCTTTTAAAAAAATCCTGGTTTTGTTACATGGTGGGAAATTTTCAGTTTATATGTATTCATTTAAATGAGTTAGGAGAAACATGCATATGGTAGCTGTATTTTTCTGTATTGGAGAAACAGAAACTGAAAATATGTTCATGTTGCATGTTGCTTTTTCACCTGTTCTACTATTGACTTCATGGAGTATTTGAGTTTGATTTATAGCACACCAAAATGATTGAGCATGGGAATCTTTTTAAATGGTCTGGCCTCTGTCATACGACTTTTGAACGATCAGCTTCCTTATTGTGACCAATTTTATTTCTGTGTAAATTTTCAGAAGATAAAACAGACCTTGAAAACAGTGTGATGCAAAAGAAAATTAAAATCCCCAAACTCTCGCTCAATCACCTAGAAGAAACAGGGGAAACTGCAGATTATGGAGATGAAGATGTAGAACTTAGACACTGTAAGGTATTGACGTCTTGTTTGTTCTTTTGTCTTTTGTAGTTCTGGACATAATCAACTCTACTGCAAATCATTGCTTTTAGAATTCTAGACTGGGGTTTCAGTCCCTAGGGACTGAATAGAGATAATTTGAGTTTGCTGGGGGGCAGAGTATAATAGAGAGCCCTGAATTGTAATCTTTGCTCAGTGAAATTATTTCATTCTGTGTGTACAGCCTACCTCTTTAGTGGTTCAGTGGTTCATTTTAGACCAGAGGTAAAAAAAAAAAATCAGCTGCATGGTTGTGAACATAAACCAGAAATGATTGAAGTTCTAAATAAATTTTGGTTGCAACTGGGGGGGAAAACCACCTTTGTTGCCTCTTTCACCATGGCCCCTGCTTGTCCAGTGCTTCAAGAGCTTTACATCACTTTAAAGTATTTTAGACCAGAGGTATGCATGGCATATTATAATGCATGGCATATGGACAACACTGAACATATATAATCCCTGAAATTGATTTGATAGCATCAGCACCTGCCTTTAATTTATAGAGTTGCTAAGAGTTATTTTTCTTTTACTAGGAATTGCATTTCTTGGTGGATTTAGGTAGCCAGTAACCCCACTGACCTTGGGTTAAATTTCCAACTGTTTTTGATTAGGATAAATTTAAAGACACATACCTCAAACATATTTTATGCTGTGGTGGCATAAAAATATGACTATAATTTTCATGTGTTTTGCTTATTTTGGAACCAGGAAGAAAGCCACAGCAATAATGGCGTAATTAGAGAAAGCATCTTGCATTAAAATGTAGAAAAAATGGTATAAAATGTATATAACATTTGTGATTTTTTTTCCAGATTTTGTTTACAGGTAAAACTTTCTCGAGCACAGAATTTTGGCTCAGCATGTGTTACACCAACATTTTCTCCATTTAGCCTGCTATCAGGTATTGTATAATAATCAGACACATCTCTGTAGTTTTTGTGGCAGAATATTACCTGGTCTTCTCCTTTGCCTTTCTGTGCAGGTATCACAGTGCATTGCAGAGATATATGCACCATTTTAATTCTGTGGCAAGTAGATGTGGAACAAAGACAGGTGTACTGTCAATAATTTATTTTAATATAATGACAACTGCATGTGTTTTCTTTGGAAAATAATGTTGTTTGGCTTAGTGGCAGCATGATAGAGAAGCAGTACATACAGAGGTAGTTTGTACAATAATGATACACATAACAGGTGCATGGATCGTATTTCAGTGTATCAGTAGAAGTTTAACTTGCAATGAAATAGAACATGCAGAAACATGAGAAAACTTAATTACATGACTTGATCATCATAATATGCCAGTGTATATATCTTGGTAGTTAATTTGATCAAAGTATTTGTTGAAACAAATGTGAATGATTTTACATCCTGATTATACATGGGGATCCTAGTGGTTTCACCTCCAATTGACTGCTTAGATCTACACCCTTCTGTACTGCTGCTACATAAAATTCTCCCAGATCATTCATTCACCCAGAAAAACATATTTTAGTTCCTTCTCCAAAACTGAAAACATTGTACTAAAAGTTCTCATTCTGAATTTCTGGGTATGGCTGAATAGCTTCCATCAAATAATTATGTCATGGGAGTAGCTGAATGGTGAAATATCTGCTTCGTATTCTTAAGGTCCTCCAGTTAGAAGCATCAAGTGGTCTAACTTAGTATAACCAGCTTCATGTGTTCATTAGTGTACTTCTTACATTTACCTGAGCCTCTGCTGGGAACAGGTGCATTTCAGTACTTGACAGTTCATATACTTGCAGCTGTACTGTACTATTATGATAGTACTATCACATGCCAAATAACTAGTTGTCCACCTGATAGCAGTATTTTCTCCTTTGGCCAAAATGAGAAGCAGTACTCATCCTGTTAACTCAGGGGTATGAAACATACAGCCCATGGGCTGGATCCGGCCCTTCCAAGGCTGCAATCTGGCCGAAGAGCAACTGACTCTGTATTGCAGCTCCTTTCCCCCAGTCCCTCCTATTTCATGCTTCAAAGGAGAGAAAGAAAGCTGTCCCTCGATTGGCTAAGGGCTCCTCCCCCCTCCTCCTCTGGGGGGAGGGGGAGGTAAAGAGACCCAGAGAAGGGGGAAAAATGGCATCTCGTGGGACTTTTAAGAAGACCAGCAACGTGTCATTCCAGGTATAAACGTTTGTGTGCAAGCACACTTCTTCTTCAGCGACAGAGAGTCTCCTGTGTTTAAGACCAAAAACTTTTTATTCCAGGTATGAGAGAGAGAGGGAGAGACTCCTGTGCTTAGAACCAAAAACATTTTATTGCAGCTATATGAGAGAAAGAGAGAGAGAGAGTGTCCTGTATTTAAGACCAAAAACGTTTTATTGCAGGTATAAGCTTTTGTGGGCAAGCATGCTTCTTTTTTGGGGGGGGAGGGGAAGAGAGCA